GGCGAGGCGCGGCCGGCCCGCGCTGTGGGGAATTCAGAATAATTCTGTGTCTGAGGAAAGAAAGGGGCTCGCTGCGCAAACAGGGCTTTTCAAATAACGGAGACTTGCAGCACGAATCTGTAACTACGGAGCTCCAGACAAAGGCAGCTGCATTTTAGGAGGAGAGCGCCCTTCTCCAGTGCTTCCCGCTGCCGGGTCCTGGGCCTCCCGCCTTGTCCCACGAGCCCTGGGGAGCTCCACACTTCCGTGCCACCTTCAACAACCTCCACAGGCCAGGCTGCAAGCGTGCCAGCGCGTATCCATTTCTCTGAATACACTGAGACAACAGAGATAAAACATGAGAACTTGTTAATGCGGCCTTTGGAGACGGCAGCCGGTGTCCTGGGGACACTGGATCCCTCCCGGCACGGCTGCAGCTGCCAGGCCCTCCAGGCAGGCGGAGGTAGATGCGCCCCTTCACCCGCCCTCCGCTGAGGCCGGCCAGCCTGGATTCATTACAACGCCTTTATTTTCCCAATTGAGGGAAAATAAACCTGCATGCTTGTTTCAATAACGATTCTTTTATCTGTTACATATTATGAAACACTGTTTTTCAAATCTTATAGCATTTATCAAAAGATTTATAAAAACCTAAGAGGTCTAATTAGATATTCCGTTATTTGTTTTGTGTCTAATTTTTCTCATGGTATAGCTACCAGAAGCGCAGAGGCACAGGCAGAAGAGAATGGCAGCAGTTTGGTATTTTATCAGATGGAATCATGCTCAGTATTAGCTAAAATATGTGACCGTATTTTTTTAATTCCAGCTAATGCATTGGCAGCCTGTTCCACTTCTAGTCGCTAAACTTCCCTTGCTGCATTTTCTTCCCATTCTACCCATTAGAAAAACTCTCAACCCTCTTTTTGTTTAATTCAAGCTTCTCTATCTGTTTAGCTTGTTTAGCTTTTTTTTTCCCTTCCCCATACTAAACAAGGTGGATTTTCTTTAACCTTCACAGCTTCTTATCTTGTTGCTCTTTTGTTCAGTGGATCACATTTTCTTTACAGTGGGCAGGGGTAGAAGTGAAGCTTATTCCCCAGCAAAGGCCTGTTTACATCTCTTAAGTTGCTCTTTGGCTCTCTCTTCTTCTTTTTTTTTTCCTTTTACAATACCAGGTCTCATGTTTAGTCTGTGAAAGGTCTGAAGGAGCAGTTAAAACAGCTGACACAGCTAGAAGCACACTTACTTAGAAAACAATATCCAACTTCTAGTTAGCCAATTGGCACAACTGGCAAAAAAAAACCCGATGGACATACACTGCCCAGTCCCTTGTCGGGGCTGCCCGGGCAGCGGGTCCCCTCCTTCGTTTAACGCAGCTGGTTCCTGCCGTGCCCGGACACCCCACACCGACCGGCGCTTCCCCCCAGGGGAGCTCCCGCCTTCCCGCCTCAGGCGCCGCCGCTGCCACACGCGCAGCCGCCCCGCCCCATTGGGCGGTGCTCGCGGCC